ACTGAATAACTCATTTTGAAAGTGTTTAAGCCAAGCAGTTACTGAATGAATGACTCCATTAGGAAATTACTTTCTCTAAGAGTCAACACCATTCAAATGAAAGGTTTTAAAGTACGTGAAAGGTACGTATAGGATTACGGGCCACAAAACGCAAAGTGACCTAGTGAAGTGGGCGTTTCTGAGTGACCAGATTACAGGTGATTTCAGCTTTCTCCTTTGCTTATCTGTAGTTCCTCTTTCTATCAATGCAATAAATGCATGTTATATGTTAAAATGTTTCAGTATTTACACAGTGTTGGCCTAACTGGAGATAAGGCTTCCCCTGGTGGTGGAGTGTGTGTTGCTGTTTTTCTGGGCGGGGGCGGATCCTGCACAGCGGAGCGCCCTTGAGTAGGGCATGTTTTCAAGGTCACTTTGGAGTGAGGATTGAGTAGATGTTGCTTTGGGGATAGGCAGCGAAAATTAGAGGTGATGGGCTGGTTCAGAAAATACCGATCATTTAAGAGGTTCACTTTTAATCCATCCTTTCCGAGTCATCACGCAGTAAATCCCAGCAGTGCATTTTGTGAATTCCACCAGCGTAGAAGACATCACGACGATGCTTTTGCTCACTCTCAGGGAAGCGTAGCAGCAGATTGAGTTACATGCTGGGTCTGACCGGTTACCCGCCTGCCCTTCCCTCGTGGAGCCCTTGTCCGTGTCATCACCCGGCTCCCGTGGGCACCGTGCAGCCCCAGCCCTCTCTCCAGCCTGCTCCGCAGCGCAGACTTGTACTGACCGAGTGGAAGGGAAACACTCTTTTTCTTTTCCCGTAGTCACCTGCTCCTTCCTGGCAGAGCGGGGCCGGGAGCAGTGGCCAGGCCTCTCCCGGGACTGGTGGTCCAGGAGCATTTCACACAAGTTCCAGACGGTTCATTCTCCAGAGTCCCTGTCTGCACAGAGTCCACCACGAGTTCAGCGCCCACGTGACATTTCCGTGGCAGTTAACGGTGCATTGAGGGCTGCGGAGGTCTCGTTCCTCAGCAACCTCGTCAGCAGGCGTATTTTAGAGCAAGATGCAGAGCCTAGTTGCAAGCCTTGCGCGAAGACAGGGCCCACTGCAGCCTCCAGCTGGCTTTGAACTCTGTGCAGGTGCCCACCCAGAGGGCGCGAGTCCTCGATTAGAGCGAAGTGTTCCCTGCAGGAGGATGAGACTCGTGCCCTGAAGCTGCACCTTAAGCCATGGCGACGCGAGACCACAGTGTGGCCGGGGAGCCTGGGACGTCTCACACTCCGGTTGGAACGGTGTTCCCAGTCTCTGTTCCGGGCTAGCGTGCCCCTGTGCTCTCTGCCACGGCCTTTGGGGGAAGAGGAAGCAGAAGTCATTCCAGATGTGTCCGTTGAAAACAACGTAGAGCTTCCATAACCTGCTCGTGTAGTCAGAATTCTTGGAGGTGGGTTTCACACCTTCCGAGTCCAGCGAAAATGACCGTTCTTCTTCTCCTGTGCAGGCTTCGATTCCGATAACTCTTCCGGGGAATTTTCCGAGGCAAATCAGAAAGTCACTGGGATGATTGACTTGGACACCAGCAAAAGTGACAGGATCGGGAAGATTGGGGAGCGGTCCCCTCAAGAGAATGGAATGCAAAAACACAGGTATGTTGTCTTGTGTGTTGTTTCAGAGTTTTCCAGAGTGCACCTGTCATCACCCCACAGGGTCCTGCGGGGCCCCCAGCCCAGGGGTGGTGAGCTGTAGCTCCCCCACGGGCCCCCAGCGCCTGGCCTGCCAGCTGCTGCTCCAAGAGGCTGGAACCTCTGCTTGGCTCCTGCAGTCGGCAGGTGGCAGTTTTCTCACCAGCGATTCCCTGTCTGTGAGGTGACAACACGCTCCTCCCCGCCCCCCAGGACTCGCAGTGAGGGGGGTTGGGGCGCAGGCTTTGCTCAGGGCCCGGCGGACAGCACACAGCCCTCTGGTCACCAGACCCCTTGCTGGTTTCCTGCGGATCTGCCTTTTCTTCCCAGACAGCCGGATCAGTCCTTCGTCTCATCCGAGTTCTGTTGTGAGGCATTGACCTCTGACCCCGTGAAGATAGGAAGGGTTTGGTTAGCTTGGTGCAGCGAGACCACGTTCCATTTTCCTCCCACCACGTGTTCACGTTCACGGAACGAGATTCTGGTGACAGTGGCCATCACGAGGGGTCTTCAGTCTTCGTCAGCAGAAGCAGGAGGGCGGGACGGGCAGTCGGGTTGCAGGCGCCCCGGGAGCCAGTGGCCTGGGAGGGTGCGGCTCTGTGCACATCTGCGGTCCCACCCACCCCTCGGGCTGCGCCTGCTGGCTGTGCACGTGCCTGCTGGGTGGGTCCTCGCGGGTGCCCTGAGTGCCCCGCTCACCTGGACTCATTCGCTTGCCCAGCAGACGTGGGAGCACTGCCCCTGTCCGAGAGCAGCCAGGGCCCTCTCTGGCCTGGGCCCGCCATCCTCCCCCCACGTGCGTGGCACCGACCCTCGTCCACACCAGAGGCCTGCGGCCAGCCCGAGGCGCCCTCCTCCTACACAGCCTGCGGCCCCAGCTCCCGCCCTGACACTCTGGCCCTTTAAATGCTGTCGGGCCCCTCCAATCCTCCACGCCCTGACCCTAGCCCCCCTACCACCCGTCCACACCCGCCATTTCCCAGGGGCCGCCTGAGTCCCTGCCACCCCCATCCCTGCTGCTGCACCCAGAGGCACTTTTCAGAAGACAGGTCTGGTTGTGCCGCCTCCCCTCTCTGCTAGGCAGGACCACCACGGGCACAGCCGCACACTCCTGGTCCCACGTAGCTCCGAATAGCACCCCTTTACGTGCACAAACACCCGGCTCGGGCGTGAGCCGTGGTGAGGGCCGAACATCCTCTCCACTCGCCTCCTGTGGCTCCAGCGCCCCAAGCCCTGTTGCCTCTGGTGCCGGCCGCGAGGGCCCCTGGGTCCTCGGGTGCGTCTGGACCTTCCCACAGCGGAGTTCCTGTCCAGCTGCGTGTTGGCCCGGGGCTTCCTTTCCTCCTCCTCCTTGTCTTAGTTCCTTTTCTTCCTTCCTGTCTCTGCGCAATGGTCGTATCCTTGGGGGACCCTCTCCTGACTTCTGTAGCGCCAGGTCCCCTCCTGGCAGTGGCCTCGAGTCACGGAGCGCTCGCCCAGCGCACCCGGTGGTGGGCGGAGCTGGGCGCTAGTTTACGGTGCCAGGCGCCCGGCGCTCAGTGGTTTTCTTTTCCGCTGGCCTGGCGGCTCCCGATTCCTCTTCTTCTCCCCGAGATAAGCAGCTTTGACCCCAAGGCCCGACGTGGCACTCCCGGGGTGCAGCTCAGGTCTGGACTGGCAAGAGCCCGTGTTCTCGCCATCCTGGAGCTGGAAGCCCTGGAGTCAGGGCTCTGTGTTGCGGTGCAGACTGCGCTGCAGAGCGGCTGCCACGAACACGAGTTCGCTGGGCTGTGAGCAGCAGGGCCACACCCCGCCCTGCGGTGTCCTGCCAGCGGCGTGTGTGCGTCCGGCCGGCCTCCCTTCAGAGCCCAAGTTTACATCTGCACTCAGACACCTCCCCCTGGTGGGGACTGTCTCATTCCAGCGCCACATTCCCAGGGGCCACCCGGCAGCCGGGTCAGTGGCCCCCAGCCCAGTCAGCTGGCAGCAGTGGTTGAGGATTAAGGTCTCGTGGCACAAATGTGACTGCCGGGGCCCCCGCTGCAGTTGGTCGGAAGGTTGTCCGTGAGGGATGCACCTCGGGAAAAACAAACACGTGTTTAAAAGGGCTGGAAAGGTTTTCTTAATCTGTGTCACCCGTGGTGCCCTCGTGGCTGCCCGTCTGTGGTCCTGCCGCTGCCCCAGGCGTCTGCTCTTCCGCAGGGGACCCCGGAGGGCCGTGAGGTGTGCAGGGGAGGGGCCCCCTCCTGGCCGCTGCCCTGTCCCGCTCGGGGAGGGAAGCCGCAGCACAGCTGCTGTGGGGCCAGGACCCCAAGTCCTCTTGGTTGTCCTCCCCGTCCCCAGGAAACCCTTCCCAGAGACCCAAGAGCAGCCGAGTCTCTCTCCCAAGGCAGGCCAGGTTGCAGAAATGCCATGTTTAGACGTAAGAATTAAAGAGAAAAGTGGTCTTTGAGCAAAGTCGCCCGCGGTGGGTGTGTCTCGAGTTGGAGTCACCCACACGTGCCCCTTGTGTCCCGCAGGACGTCGCTGCCCGCACCCATGTTCACCAGGAGCGACTTCAGCCTGTGGGCCATTCTGAAGAAGTGTGTCGGCCTGGTGAGTGCGGCGGCTCGGGCGACCCCCGAGAGCTTCCTGCACGCGCTCCGCCTGTTCATGCACAGCGCGGAGTTAAGGCACTGAAACAGGAAGAGACAAACGCATCACGGGAGTGGCGGGCTGTGGGGTCAACACATGATGTCGGGCCGGCACGTGCCCGTTCAGCCTGCTGTTCTGGGGGTGCTCTTGGTCAGCGGGCCACCCTGTCACCTGCGTGAAACGGCCCCGGCCACAGAGGCTGCAGGTGCGGCGTCAGCCACACGCCTCTGTCAGTGCTCAGGGTTTGGGACAGAGAAGCTAGTTGGAGAGTGAGTGTCCGGAAGCCTTTTGCTTTTATGGTCCTCCCGCCTGCGAGCGCCCAGGCCGCGCCTGTCCCCTGCCTCTGCCCACCCGCCCTCGGCCGGCACCTGCCGCTGGAGCTCAAGTTCCGCGTCTGCGGATGCCGCACGTCTGTGTCTCAGGTGTCCCCACGCTCTTCCGACGCCACTTGTTTTGTGCTCTTATCCATTTCAGCCCATTTTTCCCTGAAGCAAACTTCACTTTTTTCCCCAATTTTTATTTTAAAATAGTACAGAGTATTCCCGTGCCCCCACTGCCCATCTTCCCCTAATGTTGGCATCTCACGGGATAACCGCAGGACAGCAGTCGAAACAAGGACTCCTCCCTGCCTGAAGTCCACGCCGACTCAGATTTCCCATGTTCCCTGCCGTGCTTCCTGCCCCAGCCCCCCAGGGTCCCTCAGCGTGTGGTCGTCTCCTGGGCCCCTCCACCGAAGGCACCAGCGCCTTAGTCCCTCAGTCTCTCCAGACCTTGACGCTTTTTTTTTTAGACACAAGGTCTCACTCTGTTGCCCAGGCTGGAGTGCAGCGGCGTCATCACAGCTTGCTGCAGCCTCGAGCTCCTGGGCTCCAGCGTCCTCCTGCCTCAGCCTCCCACTTGTGCACCACCGTGGCCAGCTAATTCTCTATTTTTAGTAGAGATGGGATCTTGCTATGTGGCCCAGGCTGGTCTTAAACTCTTGGGCTCAAGCGACCCTCCTGCCTTGGCTTCCCAAATGTCCCCATTTATTTAATTGCTCAAATTGTTCTACTTTGGCCACAGGGAGCTCGTCCAGGTGGACGCTTCCCCTTCTGCTGGGAGGCTCTTTTGCACACTTGCATCAGGCACTAAAGGACGCTCTGGTCCAACTTGTGTTTTCCTGCTTCAGCCCTGAACCAACCCTTCTGCAAGGAGCCCTTCCTGGGAAACGGTGTTAGGAGCTGAGGCCTGGGTGCAGGGTGCGCCCTTTGCTGCCGAGGGGCCGTTGCGTCGAGACCTCTCAGCAGACAGAGCTAGAAAACGGAAGTGCGTGTCCCAGCCCCACGCACGTCTGTGCTTCCCTGCCCATCTGTCGTCTTTTAAGATCACACATCGGAGTTTTTTTTTTCGAGCAGCATTTTCTCCCACATTTTCGACTATGCAGACAGTTCAGGTCTTGACAAAAGTATCTGTCTGGGGATCGATGACGAATGTCTTTTCATGCACTTGACAAACCACTTGATTCGAGATGCTACGACCGAAGCCTCTTTTCAACAACGTGAAATAATTTAAGTGGCGCTCGCTGAGTAAGTGAGGGTGGGATGGATCGCGATTGAGGCCGCCTTTCCGAAACGCTCATCTCCTGAGGTTTTGGCAACACCCTCTTTTCACTGCTTCTCAGCTCACTTACAGAAGCGAGCATGCTTGTTAATGTGGACGCCTCACACGCAAGTGACCGCGGCTGTAATGAGCACGTGCGTCACCAGCGGCCGCGGGATCCGCTGTGGCCCGTTCTGCTCCCCCGCAGCTCCCCCCGTGTGTCTCCTCCCAGCATTTTGAAGCAAATTCCAGACGTCTTTTCGTTGTAAACATTTCTCACGTATTTCTAAAGGACTTTTTGACACAACCACTGTGCTTTTATTCTACTTTAAAAATGATACAGTTCTTTGATAATATCAAGTATCTGCTCTGTGTTCAGATTCCCATTGTCTCAAATGTCATTTTCGGGTGTTTTCGGATGGTGTATGTGGACCTTGTTTGGTCCTTCCTGTTGGGAGACGTTTTTGTTGCTCTTTCTCTGAATTGAAAAGCTTTGGACACTCAAAGCCTAGGCGCGCTAATTCGTGAGGAGCAGCGCATTGGAGGCCGCTGGTGCTGCCGCTCTTTCCTTACCGTCTGGAAGGTTCCTGTACCGAGAACGTTCCCTCGTTTGCTGTGAGTGCAGTTTGTGCGGAAGAGTCGGGGCCTGTCGGTGATGATTCCTCTCTGCCTGGGTCTTTGCTAGCGTGTCCTTTCACCAACGTCATCCGGTGTGACCAGTGTGACTAACTGGTTTGTCTTTTTACCTCGTGGAGTTGAACCTGACGTCTTCCAGTCCGCAGCTTGTCTGTCTTGGGCAGCGGAAGCGTCTTCGAGTCGGCTCAGGATCCTTTGCGAAGGGTGCTCAGACCACCCCCCAACCCCCTCCCGGGCATGTGCTGTCCGGGATCTGGACGGGGCCGTTTCTCCAGGGAGGGAAAGAGAATTCACGACAGCTGGGCTCGAGGGGGCCGCCGAGTGGTCTTGTTTCCAGGTCATTTTGGGGGACAGAGCTGGGAACTGTGCTTTTGTTTGTTTCAGCACCACTCCAGACTGGGGCGACAGGCGCTCCCCAACCTCTCATGGCTCACGCCTGTCTCTCCTCCCTCAGCGACAGCCCCGGGGTCTGGCAGAACTGGGGAGCGTTGACTTAGACCGGCTCGTGGTCACCGACTCATTGCTTTGTCCCGTGTGGTGACGGGACGAGCTCGGCGTGGTTACTGAGACCGTGCGTGTCCGTGGCTTCCGTGGTTCTTTTTGTCCTCAGGGCAGATCTCAGACTGTGTTTTACAGTCATCTGGGTGATTAGGCCACCAAAGGAATCAAGTAGATTCATTTGTTTCATTTTTGATGGTTAGAGATTGCTTTTTAAAATTTAATTTTGTTTTAAAATTATGGGTCCTAAAGTCATATTTATCAAACAATGTATGTTCCAAGAAGTTTCACTTCCCGCCCCTCCTTGCACGCTCTCCTTCCCCCACGGGTGACCGTTACACGTCTTCGTGCTGTGTCTTTCACGTGTCGTACAGTCGATGATGTGTTTTCTCCCCATTTCTTCAGATAAGCGATGGGCTGTCCCCTGCCCCTCTTCCCATTCAGCGGTGTATCCACGGCAACATCCGGCCACTGCTTCGTCTTTCTGTAACCACACTGTGTTCGCTCACGTGGCTGCCCCGTGGCTTGCTGGACCGGTGTCCTCCCAGTAGACGTCAGGGTCACTTCTGGTCTTTCAGTGGTGCAAGCAGCGCCATGGTTAGCACCCGCACAGGCGTGTCCAGCTGAGGCTTTGGGGCAGATCCCAGGAACAGGATTGCTGGGTGCGGCCCGCCCTCCCCCGGGGGCTGCACCGGCGGGTGGGGGCTTTTCCCCACAGCCTCGCTGCAGCGCCAGGCGGGATCCGTGGGGTCCTGCTCCTGGCCTGGGCAAGGTACCGTCTCTCCCTGCCGGGGCCATGGCGTCTCCTGTCTGCTGCCGGCTTCTCTGGCCCTGGCGCTGTGGCCCGTGGCCGCTTCTCCAGATTTACAGGCTTTCAGTGCTCAGAAGGGACTTTAACCCTTGTCAGGGGCACAAATAGCAAATGTTTATCTTTCTGCTTTTCTGCACGTTATTCTAGGGCCTTTTTCTTCTGCTCTCTCTCTCCACGGGTATGTGTCTTCCTCCCTTCCTGGTTAGTTCTCCCTGCGTGCTCTCGGCCATGCCCACGCGCCCGAAGCTGCCTCAGTTGTGCCTCCAGCTCCTCCTGCGCCCCAGCATCCAGTGTGTCTGGTGCCGTCCGTGCATCAGCCGCTCGCGCAGCCCAGGCTCCAGGCTCTGCTCCTGCCCCGTGTTCTCGGGCTCAAGCGCCGGGTCGCCCCCAGCCCAGATGTGTGAGCAGAGGCCTCCTTTCCCGGCACGTAGCCGAGTGTCCGGAACCTCACGGCCCAGGCTGGGTGTGTGTGTCCTGGGCGCTGTGCCGCACACACCGCTCGGAGCCCCCGAGCACGTGGACCAGAAGTGCCCGTCAGCCTCCGACAGGCCCTGTGACTCACTCAAGAACCCCAAGCCCGTCCTTGCCACTGTCGCTACTGAGTAGCTCCTGTCCGTGTGCATCCTCCCCCTCTGCCTCCAGCTGGGCCACCCCAGACCCTGGTCCCTCCCGGAGAGCCCATCCTGGCGCGCACGGCTGTGCTCCTCCCGCGAGGCTGTCTATCTGATCGTTCGGAAATGCTTTCCTAGAGAGCCGCAGGGAGGGGGCCCTGCGCTGGCCCCCTTGGCGTCTCCCCGCTTCCCCGCTGCTCTGAGCCGCACAGCGCCAGGGGCAGAAGCTGAGACACCTTTGCCTGCTCTGGGGCCCCAGGGCCGGGGCGTGGAAGGTCTCACTTGCCAGGCCTTTCCTGGCTCCTGGCGGTGGGGGAAGCCAGGGACTCTCGTTCATGACCTGAAAGCTCTGCTTTGGGACTGCTGCTCCTGGAGCACGGTGGACAATGTGCGGCGTCGCGGCAGGAGGACTAGGCCAGTCTGGGAGCTCCTGCTGCCGTCCCCGTATCCAGAGTGGGGTGCTGGCCAGGAAGGGGGGAGGGCTCAGGAGTGTCATGCAGGAAGACCGCTCTGGGCTTGGCAGCCTCCGTGGGGGTCTCGGGGAGGCCGGGATCACTGGGCGGGGCTGGGAGGGCAGCCAGCAGCTTGGCCGCGAGGTCCTGAGATCTGTCCAGCACAGGAGTCTGCGGCTCAAGGAGGGGGTGCCCGAGCAGGGGGTGGTGTGGGGACCCCGCACGTCAGGAACGGAGCGAGCAGGTCTTCGCTGATCCTTCCAGGAGCTGTCCAAGATCACGATGCCGATTGCCTTCAACGAGCCGCTGAGCTTCCTGCAGCGGATCACGGAGTACATGGAGCACGTGTACCTCCTCCACAAAGCCTGCCGCCAGCCCCAGCCCCTCGAGAGGATGCAGGTGGGCCTTCGGTTTGCGATGAACATCTGGCCACGTGTAGTGGGGACGCAGGCTCTCGCCTGGACGTAGGGGCGACTGTGAGGAAGGCCACGGGGCTCAGCTGGCACTGGGCCACAGCGTCCCCACGGTCTCTGATTGCAGGACTCCCAGGAAATGCCGCGCGGCTCTTTGCATCCCTAGAGCTCCCTGCTGCTTTGCCAGGAGTCTCAGCCCCTCGGAGCTGCGGCTGGCGGGCCCTGCCACGGGGCAGTTCGTGGGTCCTTTGGCACCATCGCTGCCCCACGTGTGTGTGTGTGATTGTGGACTGTGTATGGGCGCAGCTATGTGTGTGCACACGTGTACGTGCGCATGTGAGTATGCATGAGTGTGTGGGCACACGTGTGTGAATGTGTGCCCTGGCCTATTTGCGTGTGTGTGAACTTGTGGCCTTGTGTGTGCGAGACAGACAGACTGACGTGGGGGCACTGTCTGCAAGGAAGGGCCAGGCCACGGGCGTGGGAAACAGCATGTGGTTCCTCCTTTCTGCGGCTTGGAGGGTGTGGTGGGTGACAGTTGACACTCCCCGGAAGTTCTGTAATCTCAAGACGTGTTGCTGGTGGAAGCCTGGGAAGTCACCTAAGAGCAGGTAACGGCTCCAAGAAATCGGGTGCCGTCCACGCTCTGCGAGACGCCGTCGTGTTTGCCGCTTTCCCTAACCGACGCTGTCCTTCCCGCCTGTGCCCTCCCTACAGTCCGTAGCTGCCTTTGCTGTTTCCGCCGTGGCCTCCCAGTGGGAGCGGACGGGCAAACCGTTTAATCCACTCCTGGGAGAGACGTACGAACTGATCAGGTAAGAGAAGAGAGGCCCCGTCACAAGTGTCCCGTGAGTGGGATTCTTTGGATGATAAGTGAGCGTGGTTCTTACACCCGTGTCGATCCCTCTGCTCTGAGAAGGAACGGTCCGGACTCAGCTTGCTCACGCATGTGCAAGACCACAGGCGAGAAGCTGTTCCGTGTACGTGGCATGTTGGGTTTACGATGTGACAAAACCCAAGGGGGTGTAGAGTTGAGAGTAGAACGTGTCACTGTGTTGGACTCGAGGGTGGGGATATTCCGCGCACGCACGCAGACAGTTGCACACACGTGTGCAGCGTGTACGAGATGCGTGGGACTGGCAGTTTCACTAAAGTGAAAACAGGTGCTACTGTGCGAAGCTGGGCCGTTTCACCAAAGCGTTGTCGCGGATGTTGTTGAAAGAGCAGGTGAATCCACAGGGAGGGACGATCGCGCAGAGGGGTTCGATCGCGCAGAGGGGTTCGTGCCCAAGGCCCTGTTCCCCAGCAGGGGTGAGGATGGGTGGAGGCCGCTGGCCCATGCAGCACTAAGGAGATCACCTGCATCTTTAAATGTCACTGAAATTGCTTTCTGCAGGGTTTTTCTCTAGGCAGATCACCACTCCTTCCTAGACACCCCCCCCAGCTTCCTTCCAGCCCCTGGTGCCCAGCACACCCCCTGCGACTGTCCCCAGAGGTCCAGCTGGACACCGGGCACATCTGCCGTGGCCTCCAGAGGGGAGGGGCTGGGCAGGCGTTCTCTCCACCCACCTGTCGCCTCAGGGCTGCTGCAGTCATTCAGAGAATCGTCGGGAGGACTCCCCTAGGAGAGTGCCACCGAACCAACAGATAAAGAAAGATAAAAACAGACAGCAGAGGTTCTGAGACTGTCATGACTTCTCGGTCCTTGGACCGGCACGGTGGAGACCTGGGGAGTTGTCAATGAGAGTAAATGTGTGAGCTCCTTGCTAGGGCCGTTCGCTGGCGTCCGTGATGGTGTCTATCCCGCCTAGCCCTGGAGTGTTCTTCCGGACACGCCGTGCGTGCGCCGGCAGGTAGCGCGTGAGGGTCATCGCAGCGCACTTCAGAGGCAGTTCGGAGCCGTCTCGTGGGTGGGGGTTAAATTTCAGGTCTGAAAGAGGAAAGAGAACTCACCCCAAGCCACGCCCTGCCCTCCTGACATAGGTCTGGCTTGGCCAGTGCCTCACCCTGCACACTGAAGGGCTGCGGGGGTCGTGAGCCGCTGGCCACACGCCCCCGCCCAGGAGCAGGGGCAAAACGGGGCCCCGGAAGCCCCCCAACAACCCCGCCTAACAACGGGGTCCGGAAAACGGGGGTTCGGCCGTGAGAATCAGCCTCCTTTTTGGATTCCGGGTTAGTTGAGATTCTGCTGGGATATTCTATTAGAATGAGTCTGTTTGCTTTTTTAATTACAAGAGCCTGCTCTTCATAGGTAAGTGCCGCGCTGGGAAGAGCAGAAGACAAAGCTGTCCTCGTGGTGGCGGCTTCCTTTCGTGGGAGTGCGCGTGTTTGTGTGATGCGATGTTGACCTGCGTCCTTTTTCAGTTTACGCCACTCCACAGTCACTTTCCTGACGTCACAGCTTTTCTAAACCGCAGCTGCTCGTGGATCCTGAGGCCATTTCTCATGTTGCCGCGTTTCCACGTGTCCTGGTTCATTCGCAGCTTTCTCTTCCGTGAAATGGAGTGACGGTGTGTTCTGCACGGTGGCATCTTGAATTCCGAGAAGTACCGCTCTTTTGAAATTTCAGGTCGTTATTTCGGGCCCTTTGTTGTATCTTATGTGTTATTAGTGATTGAGATTTTTTCCAGTGGCGAGTGATTGTGGGATTCGGGGGTGTTGGTTTGCTTCAGGCGGGCCTCTTCTGGTGCGCGAGAGTTTCGGGGTGTGCCCAGGGTTGTTTCCCGGGCTGGTGTGTGGGAGGAATCGTTCTCTGCAGAAGCACAGGCCCACCTGCAGCCCGCGCGTTGGTCAGTGCGCAGTTTGGGAAGCAGCCCAAGTGTCATCGTCTCAAACTCCTGGCCCGTTCTGGGTGGTCCAGCTGCTGGTGGGGGATACCACCTGGAGCTTGCTGATTTAGGGGAAGACCTGTTCTCGCAATCCTGTTACCTCGTTAGGAGAGAGTGCCAAGTGGCGGCAGTGGGCTGCCTGGCGGCCAGGGTGGCGGCGCAGCCCAGCAGGAGGGATGGTGGGGAACAGCTCTGCTTCTGCAGTTTAGAAACGGGGAAACCGAGGCCGGGACGAGGGAGACTTGTCCCAAGAGTTACTCTTGAGGGAACCTTTTGTTCTGAATTCATTCTGTAGCATAGTCTTCCTTTTCTAGACACTTCTCTTGAATGGCAGTTCGTATGGTTGGCTGCCTGCCCCCTGCCTTCCCTTCTGCCATCAGCACTGACCTATCTGGCTGTAGAAAATTATTATTATTATTACCACTATTATTTTTTCTTTGAGACCGTCTCGCTCTGTCACCCGGGCTAGAGTGCAGTGGTGTCATCATAGTTCAGAGCAACCTCAAGCTCCTGGGCTCAAGAGATCCTCCTGCCTGAGCCTCCTGAGGAGCTGGGACTGCAGACGTGGGCCACTGTGCCCTGCCAGGAAATTATTAAAATATCTCGAAAATCGTAAATCAGAGCAGGAGAAAAGCTCTAGCTGATAGGAAGGAAGCAAGATGGACGAAGAGGGTGCACAGAACCCAAGATGCCGATGGGGTGCAAGGTGCGCGTGGCTGGTCTCTCAGGACCTTCCCTCGGGCCACGCTGAAGTTCCACGGACGGGAAGAGACGCGGAAGCCCTCTCTGGACTCCTGTGCGCGTCGCTTGCCACGTTTCTATTTCCAGACCGTACTTGTCAGCGTCTGCCGCGTGTTGTGCTTCCGTGAGCCCCGCGCAGGCCTCTTGGAGGAGACGCGGCATGCGTGCGCCAAGTCCCGCACCCGTGTCTTTTGTCCCTGCAGATTCCTCTTGTGCGGCTAAAAATACGCTTTCTTTTCTTAGACAAGTATTCATTTTGTAAATTATATACCTTGGTAGACAGCCTTTTAAAATCCAGTTTCTCTATTTTTCTTCCTCTCTAATGATTGGAAATTCTAATTCCAGTTAAGTTAGTAATTACGTGGTTTAGCTTTTATAATTTTTAATGACTACAACTGTAGGTGTATTCACGGTTCCGGAACAATTAAAAACTGACATTTTTATTGAAAAAGAGAGTGTGCTGAAAACCCTATTTCCTGGCCAGGAGTATTTTGGGGTATAAGACATCCCATCACGAAATTTCAGGAGCCTTGCAGACAGGTAGGAAGGACGCCCTCCCGAGAGGCTCTGGGTCCCGGCCGGGCCTGCCAGGCAGTGGGCGTCCCCACGGGTCAAGGTGAGAGCCTGGAGGTGCATCTGGAGGAGACGCTTCTCGACCTGCGCCACGGGCACCTCTGGCCCAGTGCCCATGTGGCCGGGTGGTCTCACGCAGTGTGTGCGGGGTCTGGGCAGAAGGCCCCCTGCAGTGTTGCTTGTTCTGTGGGGTCAGGCGTGCTCTAAGGCGACAGTTTGTGTGTGTGTCTGTCTGGCGTCAGCATCAGGCCAAGTGTGAGGTCAGAGTGCAACTGGTGGCTGTTTCTGCCAGAGAGTGCGGCGCCTCCCCGAGCCCGCGGGCAGGGGGAAGCCCAGGGGCCTCTGGGCCCACGTGTGCGCCAGGTGACCAGCTACGCGGCTGTGCGAGGCCTCTGTGAGCTGAGCTTTCTTTGATTTCGCTGTCACTCACGTGGCTCCTTCTTTTCCCTCTTCCTTCCCTTCCTCCTCCTCTTTTCCTTTTGGACCTAGGGAGGATTTAGGATTCAGATTCATATCCGAGCAGGTCAGCCACCATCCCCCCATCAGCGCATTTTACTCCGAAGGCCTCAGTCAGGACTTCCTGTTCCACGGCTCCATCTACCCGAAGCTGAAGTTCTGGGGCAAGAGCGTCGAGGCGGAGCCACGGGGGACCATCACGCTGGAGCTTCTCAAGTGAGTGGCGGCGGGCGCCGCCTGGGCTCGGCCTCTTTGACAAACCGGGACGTGCGCTGCTGGCTTGGAAGGAAACCACTTTCCTTGAGCACCAAGGCTGTTCCTTTTGGCGGGGAATCCTCTGCTCCTCCTGCCAAGGCAGCCAGCCCTTCCCACCGCAGAAGCGTCTTCAAGTGAGGTTCCTGATCAGGGAGGGTGTCACTTGGGGGAATGCTTCTCACCTCTGATTGCTGTCATGTTTGCAGCACAGCAAACCCAAACGTAGCAGCTTAAAACCGGGTTTATTGTCTCGCGTGGTTTCAGGGCTGGGGTCCAGGCACAGAGCTCCGGGAGGCTGCGGTGGAGGCCGGCCAGGCACGCTGGAGCTGGACGGCCACACACCTGCTTCCAAGCTCCCCCCGCTGCCGAGGCTGCCCACAGCGTGGCAGCTGGCATCCCCCAGGGACAGCGCACCAAGGAAGCCACGGAAGTGACCCTCCCCCCACCCAGCCTTCCGTGTGCGGCTGGTCACGCTGGCCTGGTGGAGTGTGAGGTGACGTAGGGTTTGAATTCCCAGAGGAATCGCTGGAGGGGCCGTCCCAGAGGCTGCCCACCACTCCTGCTCTCCCTCAGTCTAAACCCGCTGCAGTCTACCCAGCGGCAGTCACAGATACCTCAAAGCAAAAAATGGTTCCCCAGCAAACGGCTGGACGTTGAAAACCCCCAGAGACACACAGTCCTGGCGGTCACACACAGCTGTTCTCTGTGGCGGCCAGTTCTCTGAGACGTGAGTCTTGTTAAGCCACAACCTGCTGCGATGAAGCATCTTACTCGGTTTCTGCAGCGTGTTGGCCTGGCCTGCTGGTTGCAGGAAGGACCACACGGCACTGGGGAGCAGGGTCTCCCCCACACCGCCCGGGGAGTGCATCTCAGGGCTGGTGGGGTCGCCAGGCCCCAGGAGGGCGGCGTGGGGCCGACGCTGCCGCTGTCTCCCAGTGGCCTTTGCTTTCTCGGGGTGAGGCGTGCAGAATCGAGAAGTTGCAGACCTGATCGAATAACACGTTTGGGTTCCACCTAGGAAATTCGAGAAATTCCAAACGTGCGCCATGAAATACTCCTTCCCCGAGTAGAGCTTTGCCCTTAACTGGCTCCTTCTTGCAGCCTCTGCCGAGACGTGGATCTGGTGATCTGCATCTCACGTGTGCGGGTTTTTCCGCCTGGCAGGGCCATTTGGGAGGGTGGGGAGCAAAAGAAAAGGGTGTATGGGGCGCTGTTGGGAACGAGGACCCTCCCCACAGCCCCTCCTGCCGCACGCCGGCTCCCCAGACGGCCGGGACCCGCGTGCAGGACGGGCGTCTCTGCGGCGTGTCTGGTGAAGTGGTTTCTGACAGCGTCACAAGAAAGCTATTGCTCTGTTTCAGTCTCCGTTTATTGCTTATTAAACTTGTCTTGACATTTAAGTAGAAAGCTTTGTTGATGCTACAAAGGAGAGAAGGAAATTTCAAACGGATGCTAAATAAACAGACGGCGTGGGAGGGACTTCAAAGCAGCGCTCTGCCCTCGTGCGGGTCCCGCAGTCGTGCTCGGCTCTGCCTGGTCCCTGCGATTTGGGTCACACAGTGTCTTTGCTTTGCTGGCCCCTGACGTGCTTGTTTTCTGGCCTTTTCACAGACACAATGAAGCCTATACCTGGACCAACCCCACCTGCTGTGTGCACAACGTCATCATCGGGAAGCTGTGGATCGAGCAGTACGGCACGGTGGAGATCGTGAACCACAGGTAACGGCGCCCGCTTGCTGCCCGACCCTCCGAGACTCCGGGTGGGGCTGAGTGAGCCGTCCAAGACGCAACCCTCGGTGAGTGGGCGGCTGCTGCCGGCCCCTCCGCCTGCAGTCTGGCCACGAAGTCATCAGGGTGCTCCTTGGTGGTGGTGGTTTCAGTCAGTACTCACTCTGTTTTAAGAGTTTGACCCCAGAAAGTGGTACCATCCCCAGGCGAAACATGGTGACTGTCCTCAGATAGTAGCTGCCGTCCTGTCTCTAATACTCTTTTCTGGAAGTTCACGACTGGTCGGCATTGCTTCTTAACTGCTTAGTGACATATAAGTGACATGTCATAAAATTCACCTTGTTAAGTGGACACTTAGATGATTTTTTGTAAAGTTACTGAATTTTGCTGCCATCCCCACCAGCCGGGTTTGAGATGTCTCTATCTCCATGGCTATGACAAAGCCCCATCATACCCGTCTGTAGTCACTCCCGTGCCACCTGCCCAGGTGGCCTCCAGCCTGCTTCTCCTCTAGAGATTTCACATCACACAACAGAAGCCTGTGTTTGTGTTTCCTGCAGAACTGGACACAAGTGTGTACTGAACTTTAAACCATGTGGATTGTTTGGAAAAGAACTGCACAAAGTGGAAGGGCACATTCAAGACAAAAAGTAGGTCCGCGTCAGATTGGCTCCCGGTGTGCTTGTGTGGCGCATGTGCTGTATGATGCTGTGGTTATACCAGTGACTTCCGTCTCCTCCTCTCTGCTGGCGTGCGTTGCATGTCGCCAGGCAACACTCAAAGCCTTAGCTTGCATGGGCGTCAGTGCCGCACGACCGGCTCACTCCAGTCTTTAAATCAGGGATTTTACAAGTTTTTGTGAGCAGAGAAATGGTCAGTACTGTTTTAACAAGTTTTGGGGGTTTCCCCATATTGGGTTAATTACTTTACGTTCTGGGTCTCAAATTTCTCAACTTTTTTTTTTCACTAAGGAATTTGAGCCACATACAATGTCAAGAGATTTCTTCCAGCTCCTAAAATCTGTACATTTTCAGTTAGAATCCAGTCTCCAATTTAAAACAGTGGGTGCTTTTGCTCCGTCCACCCTCTCTTGGTGCCAGAAACTCACCTGTTCAGACAGCCTGTAAAATGTGTCAGGCTTGAGACAGACCCTTTGTCTGCAAGTGACACGAGGACTCGGCGCGTGCACCTCCATGGGAGTCCAGCTGGTGGGAGGGGCACTGCTCAGCACCCCGGGCAGCCTCTCCCTTGTGGGCATCAGCCCGGGAGAGGCTGGCCTGTCCCTTCACAGAAGCAGGTGGGGGAGCCGAGGCTGGCACCCGCGGACCCTCAGAGAGCTCGTGGAAGCTGTGTTTGGTTTTCTGGCTTTGCATCCTGAATTCAAGTGCATTCCTTGCTTGGAGGTGGAGAGTGTCCCTAGCCATTTCTCCGTGGTCTCTGCGTGCGGGTCTGCAGCCACATCTACACTCGCCTCTGAGACACACGCGCCCTCCCGTGTCCTGAGCCTGCCAGCGCAGCACTTCCAGGGAGATCTGCCGCCCTGCACTCTTCCCAGGAGGAGGCAAAAAAGCAAAAGCAAAGAGAGAGTGCACGTTGTAGTGGCTTCCCTTCCCTTTGGGATGGGGCAGAGCGCCCTGGTGGCTGATCTGTGAAGAACTCCAGACTTGGTATCAGGTGGAAGGAGCAGGCAGGGACCAGGACAGAGCAGACAGCACCAACCGAACATGAGAAGGGCTGTTTCTGTGATACTGGTACCGAGAGAAAGGGCTGAAGGACACACAGCGCAAGAAATTCACTGTGTCAAAGAACGATAATACCAGCTCGAGTTCGGCTCACTAAAGAAAAATTAAAACACGTGGACACATACAGCTTCAAAGTTAAAAACGTGCATGTTCTTCCTGTCGCCTCCTGTCTCCCAAGTGCTGCAGGCCCCTCTCAGGTTTCGTGCCTTCCTTTGCTTTTCTACTTCTGTGCATCGGGGTTAGGAACAGCTACCCCCACATGGCATGAGCAGAAGTCCTAAAATGCACATTTCCGTCTTTGCATTTCTGTCCAGAGATATCCCAAAATGTAGAAGACGCCATGCAGAAGGGGAGCTTGTTCCGTGGTCAAAGTCGAGGTGCTGCATGTGCACATGGGTAGTTTGTAGCTGCTCCTAACCTGGTCTTGAAACTCCCGTTTGACCGCAGCAAACAGAAGCTGTTCGTGATCTACGGCAAGTGGACGGAGTGCCTGTGGGGCGCGGACCCCGCCTCGTACGAGTCCTTTAAGAAGCGGGAGCGGAGCGGCGGTCACCCGCGGAGGGCTAAGCTGGTAAGGGCCTGCGCTCGGCCGACCACGTGGAGCCGAGCCGGGGGGAGGGCTGCCTGGCCACTGCCAGCACCAGCTCACGTGTTGGGGAGCCCAGAGCGCCCCGTGGCCCAGCCAGGAGGGGCGGGTGTTCGGAGCTTGTCTGTCTGGATGAAGCGCGTGTGTGAATCCTGGCCTTGGGGGTGGGGTTTGTGTGTGTTTCGCCTGGGAGGACGCAGTAGCTGTAAACTGTGGGCTCGGGGTGTCCTGTGTCATTGTCTCTGTCCCCACGGGCTGGAAGTGTCCAAGGGAACCTCACGTCTGGCAGCTCCAAGTTCTGGGCCCTTTTTAATGAATCTCCTTCCTTCCGTGACCTGAGTTAGCCTAGACGTGTTTGAAAACTCAAGTGAACTTCGGTCTTGTGTTCTACTCCTGAGGGCTGGATGACGCGCTCGGCACGAGGAGGCGCTGGCGGGGATTTTCCGCCTGGCTCCGGAATAGTGATGGTCTTAGCCTGGTTTTTCCTGGGCTCAAACTGCAAGTGATAGTTCAAAAGGCGTGTCGTGTTTCCTAGATAACGCACCGGAATATTCCAAGCCTGAGGCGTTCAGTGTTTATTTAACAAAAGTATTCAACCTCTTCCAGGATTCTGTTTTTTATATTGTAATATTTAATGTGTGCTGTTAGGCACCTTTTCTAATAATTCTCTTTTATTTGAGGAGAAAAAATAAAATTCCATTTAAAGACTACACAGACTCAGAATGCCAGGTCCATTTAGTGACATCTTTTAATGCTTTCGCTTGGCCTTCATGTTCCTTCCGGCAGCCTGGAGATGGGAGAGTGTTTTCCGTGAATACCTGTCCCAGAGCTGTGTCTCAGCAGCCGCGTTAGGCCACATGACCCACGGCCGGCGTTGGCACAGCTGGCTAGAGGCAGGCGAAGAGACTCGGGCTTTGGTGCCCGTTGTTAGTGTCCTGCCTTAACAGCTGCAGCTAATAAGCCACTTTCTTTTCCCAGGACCTATTTGTATCTTTTTATTAAGAGAAGATGTGTAGTCAGGATCCAGTTGAGAAATGCTCAGATAACCATGAAATTGCCACGTGTGGACCACTTCTCAATTGAGAGCAAAATGCAGCGTTTATTGGCAAAGCCGCTCAGTCCCAGAAAGAGGGTCACCGTTAGCTCAAATGGACGTGCTATTTTGGAAGGCGTCACCCTGTGTAACTGTGCTCAGGCGCGATGGAGCATCCTTACGGTGCACGCGCTGCCCCCAAAAGGAGCGTGCCGACGTCCTGCCTGCCTTGTCTCTGGGGGTCAGCAGGGCACAGCGCGGCGTGAGCCTGCACGGGGCCGTGAGCCACTTCAGGGGCCGAAGGCCTGATTCCTCTCCACGCTGACAGACAGGATGGCAAACTGGGGAGGAAATTTGATTTTCTCCTCGGTTAAAAAAGGAAAGGCCGTGTCGCTGTGCTCGGGGGCTGGTGGCTGGTCTGAAAGGTGCTCTGAGAATAGCTCTGCTCCCGCTGCCAGCTGCGTGCTGGGCGGCTGTACCGCGGTGCTCTGTTTCAGGATGACGGCGCCGAGAAAGCCGACAGCGACGTGGCCGACGACGTACCTGAGGTGCAGGAGACCGTGCAGGTCGTCCCGGGCAGCAAGCTGCTCTGGAGGATCAACACCCGGCCCCCCAACTCTGCCCAGGTCTGTGCCCCGCCGTCCCGACAGCCCGCGGGGCCAGGCTCTGTCCGCACCCGCCTGGGCAGGGCCTCAGCCTCGCCCCCTCCCTGCGCCTGCGCTGCCCCTCAGCCCCGGGTCCCAGACGGTCACGCAGCGGGCGGGTCTCCACAGCTGAACCGCCTGAGGGCCCCGCTTGCGGCAGGGGCTGGGAGCCGGTGCTCCGGCAGGACGGGACGCTGCGTCCACTGCTGTGCTGACCCCGGCCCAGCGCGTCCCTGGGTTCACACCGCCGCCGCGTTAGAGCCGCCCCCGGGCACACGCTTGTCTTCCTGCCAGGAGCGTCGCACACACGGCCTGTGCCTGCCAAGGCCTCTCGTGTGTTATCGAAAGGGGGTGCCAAACCTGTTCGGGGAGAGTGTTTTCTGACTTGTCAGTTTAGATGCTTAGATGCATTGTGATATTCGCTTTTGATAATCACACTTAAAATTTTTATTACGTATAAAATAAAATATATAGTACAAATAAATAATATAAAATATGTAATATCGTGATATATATTAATGTAATATATTGTACGATGGATATATATTATTTAACAAGTTTTATTTTAATATCTTACGTTATTTACATATAAAATACATATAACTTACCATAAACACTTTATTGTATTTTTGTGTCCTGTAGAGAGAGCAGAGCTTGTGTAGAGAAAAAGAAACAGAATAAAACGCTCGTGCGCAGCGCGTTAGCCCGGCAGCCAGCGTCACCTTCCAGTGGAGCGTGAGCTGGCGTCACGGTGCTGGTTAAGAGTTTTGTTAGAAAAACTTAGCCTTTTTAAGGAAATCCTCCTTCCTCTGTCCTTTGGTTCAGGGGATTTATTGAGTCCCAGGCGGGCCGGGGCTCGAGGAGCCAACTCGGTGACCTGGCAGGCCGGGCCCTGCAGCCCCAACCCGGCAGCAGGCGGTGGACACACACCTGAGCGCCGCGGTGCCTCATAAGGTGCCAGGAAAACACACGCCAGGGCGAGGAGGGGGCTGAGTGCTGTGGCTTAAGTCACAAGGGGGGCGGGCACCCAAGGGAGGGCAGGGGGACAGCTAGACAGAGTCCCACGTGCAGACTGGGGTGGGGGGCCACAGGCCCAGAGCTGTGGGGATGGGGGTGGGGAATATGAGTGGCACAGGGCACCGGGGAGTCATTTGAGCAGAGACTGGATGGGGCTGGCACTTTCCGTGGCCCTGCTGGCTGCTCGCCGACACCCTGGGGGACGGGGGCACAGAGCGGGCGGGTGTGAGGCCGGGGCGGTGGGGCCAGCATGTGCAGCCAGCCCCTCGGGTGCTGGGCTGCCGACCCCTCTCAGACACCCAGGACAAGCGGGGCAGACAGATGTCCAAGGCGGGAGTCAGGGGTCTGGGCTGGGGAAGGAAACTTGGGTGCCCTGGCCCGGGGCGGACGTCCCACCCGAGCTAGGAGCCCCCGCCCGAGGTCCGGCAGCCCCGGGGTGGAGCAGCTGCCCAGGGCGCAGGGGAGGCGATGGCTTGGGGATCAGCGTTTAGGGCAAGACCCGGGTGGCCTAGACAGGACAGTTGCCAGCGAGCGGGTGGCATGAATCTTCTCTCTGTGAAACCATGAAGGAAAAAGAAATTCATGCTAATTTTGCTGTCGCACCTCAGCCTGTAAAAGTTGCAGCTGCGGCGTGTGACAAGTGCGTAGTTAGATGGAAAAGGCATTGGTCGTGGGTGGGAGACGTGAGCGGAAACGCATTCCTAACCGCGGGCGCCCTGTCGGGCTTGGTGCTGTCCGTGGCGGTCTGGGGTCGTCCCCCGCGGCCGGGGCTGCTGAGTCGTGTCTCTGTGCTGCTCTCGCAGATGTACAATTTCACCAGTTTCACCGTGAGCCTCAACGAGCTGGCGACAGGCATGGAGAAGACCCTGCCCCGCACGGACTGCCGCCTGCGCCCCGACATCCGCGGCATGGAGAACGGGAACATGGGTACGCTCGCGGCTGCGGCGGGGGGACTTGAGGCCGGGGTGGCGAGCACAAAGCGGCAGGGGCACCAGTCCCCTCCAGTGACCCTGCGGGCTGCAGAGCTGGGCGCGGGGCGGCTCCAGCCTTCGCTGCTGGACACTAACAGGTCCCTCCCGCCCTGGACCAGGCCTCGGGTAAAGACGCTAAGATTAAATTGCCAGGAAACGAAACGAACAAGAGCGCATACAAAGTACAGGTCCCTCACTTCCTGTCACCAAATTCACCAGACGTCAGGATGAGAGTCGCTGTGGGGGGAGCTGGCCCCGCAGCCCACGCCCAGCTGGGCGCTCGCCCCCGTGCGCAGCCGGCGCACTCACCTTTTCTCCTCCCTGACTAGTCTGGACCAAATCAGCAGCGAGACCCTCGCTGGCGATGCTCGTCGGGGGCTCCCGGCTTGGCACTCGTTGTGTGTTAGTAGAGAACCCCCGCCGGGAGCGCGGCCTGGGAACGGAGGTGCGTGCCCCTCTCGTAGCCGCCGTGAGGCAAGCGACGCCTTCACCAGCAGCCACACGGCAGTTCGTCCTGAAGGGTCAGGGCCGAATGGAACTGTCTTTAATGAGAGAAACAGATGCTGGATTTACAGACTTTGTGTTGTGCTGCCCCCTTGCCCGCCTCGGTGCCGGGCGGCGTTCAGTCGCTGCACAAGCTCAGACGCCTGCAGACCACGCCCTGCGCAGCGCTGCTCTAGAGCGCACGGCGCACACAGCTCAGCGCGGAGGCAGCGGCCCTGGCACCTGCGCCTGCGTTCGGCCTCCTAGTGACGAGGCCCTTGACCTGCGGCTTCGCAGCCAAAGGGGCGCCTGCCGCCTGGAGGTCTGGGGGCACGTGGGGTCCTGAGGGCTCTGGCGGACGTGGGCGGGAAGCTTTGCTGTCGGCCTGACTTACCCAGAGGCTGGTTTGCTTGCGCCTAGACCTGGCCAGCCAGGAGAAGGAGCGGCTGGAGGAGAAGCAGAGAGAAGCCCGGCGGGAGCGTGCCAGGGAGGAGGCAGAGTGGCAGACCAGGTGAGGGCCGCAGGGCCGGGTGCGGGGGCAGCCAGGAGGGCCACATACACACCTGGGGGAAGGAAGGAAGCCCCCTCACCCCCACATACCCCTTGTGGCCAAGCAGTAGCTGATAAAGGCAGTGACACCAGCAGCCGCCCCAGCTGCCGCCGTATAGATTAGGGTCAGGTAGGGCACACCTGCCTGACTGCGCCCAGCTGGGAGAGGCCTGTGCACAGAGGCCAGTCACCTCAGACCTGGGCCTTCCCCTCACGCTTCAGTGGCGTTCCTGACCCAAAGCGCTCTTCTCAAATACGCCAAATTTAAGGAGAAGACGTCATCCGAACCCCGCCGCTCCCTCGAGGACAGTGCGCCTGATGAGAGGGAGTGCAGCCCCACGGCCACGGTCCCCGCTGGGGGGTGAGGAGCGCCCGGGCTCAGGGACCCGCGCCCCGTGATGCCACGTGGCGGGGAGCACCAGGCCGAGGCCACGTCCCCCCTCAGCCACGCTCAGGCTGGCCGTCACACCCGTGACCAGAGAGGTTGTGCTGTGAGAACGAAGCGCCGTGGCACTGAGACGTGGGCGGGGCTGGGGCTGTGGAGCGGGCGTGCGCACACACGGCAGACACCCTTCCCGCCGGCCAGCACGCCCAGCAGAGCTGTCACACGGCAGCGGCCGCTAGGAGCTTTGATCCTGTTTTCTTACTCAACTGCCTTAAACCGATTTTATTTTCTTTATCCTTTAGTTGTCACAATGTGAGAATAATTCAGTTAACAAGGGTTCAGTCAATGAAGTGCTGTCATAATTAAGCATGAGTGAAATACGTACACACACGTGAGTGAGACGTGTTTGCCCGTTACAGAAAGCTCCGGGTGTTTTCGAGCCGTTTCAGTCCCTCGGGCGACGCACGTCCTAGTGTTTGTTTCCAAGGCCAGTGACAGCCGCGTCTGGTGACTTCGGTGGCTGGCGCTTGGAAACCAACTCTTAATGCTTGGGCTCCCAATTCAAGTTAATTTGAGGCTTTTGATAGTTGGATATTTGGAATTTGCCCTTGTTCCCGAGAAAAACAGCTTGAAAACAGTTGACCTTCCTTCATTCTGCTTTTTTTTAAATATTAAAAAATATATTGTGAAAATAACGATCTTTTCTCCTTGGGAAATAATTCCTTCTTCTGTCTGAGCTCCCCAAGCGCCCCCCAGTCCCCGAGCGCCAGCGGGACCCACGGCAGCAGCTGGACCAGCCCATCCCCAGGCCCAGCAGGTGCTGGGGGCACGGCCACTGTCACTCTGCCTGTCACCCCTTCCCTTGTCCTCAGAACCAATCCTGGGTCTGCTGTAAACCAAAGGCCATGTGAGCGTGTGACTGACGGCTGTTGCCTAGAGGAGGCCCCAGCGTCACTCAGGATGCAGTGACTGTCCTCTGGTGACGGCCGGTGTGACGGTTTTGTGTTGAGTTAACGCGTTGAGATTTTTGGGAAGTGCAGCTGACGTGGCGGGCAACGTCTGTAGGTCACGGGTGAAAGTGTGCTCAGTGGTTCCCGGTGCAGTGGTTGCCCTGGGCTACGTTTTCCAAACACATGTTGCTGTGACGGTGCCTCCTGAGAGGGACACAGCCTTTGCCCCAGAAGGCCAGCGGCCGTTCCTTGGGGCTGAACGTCGTCTTTGTGTTCCGCAGGTGGTTCTACCCGGGCACCAACCCCTACACGGGGACTCCCGACTGGCTGTACGCGGGGGATTACTTTGAGCGGAACTTCTCTGACTGCCCAGATATCTACTGAGGACCGCGGGGCCCCGGGGCCGAGGCCTGCGAGGCTGGACCCCTCGAGTGGCCACGCTAACCTTCATCACAGCAGAAACGGACTTTCTAACGACTGTGTTCGTGGAGGTTGCGTCACCCCTGGTCAAAGGTTCAAGTCTAATCAACTGTTGATTGCCAAACACTCTACTACTGTGCAGTCTCTTCATGCAGCTTCACTCGGGGCCATCGTTTTCATTAAGATCTGAACAGGAAATTCCTCACCGCTCCCTCTGATGTGACGAGAGCCCGCGGGGCCTGCCGGGCTCACGGCTCCGTTGCAGGGCGCGTGGCGGAAGCAAGCACGGAAGGCTCCGTGGTCTCCTTACCACGTGGGCAAAGGGCTTTGGAAAGTATTTTAAACCTGGACCCATGGGGGGAGGATGGACTTGAAAATGCCCCCGCAGAGGGCGCGCGAGGCCACGAATCGCTTTCTAAATTATGCTGATACGGAAGTGAAGGTTTTCAAAGCATCAGATTGAATGAAATGAAAAGTTGTCAGATTCTGTATTTTTTACCGATCTTCAATAATGTAAAGATTACTTTTAAAATATTTAAGTTAAAATTACTTGAATAGTGTTTCGCTGAAGAGCAAGATATGCATTAATCACTGGTTGTATACTGTCCAAACCGAAGCATCACCAGGACACCCAGAGTGAGCGGGAGCAGTGAGAGTCGGAAGGAAACCCACGACGCCCCGCCCGGCAGCTGGCCCAGCCCCGGCTGTGGGTGCCTGTTGTCGCCGAGCACCGCGCCCACGTCTCAACGGGGGGCCATTTCTTAAAACACTCCGCCTGTATCCACGGCACTCCGTGTTCCGTTTTCCCCGTATGCATGTTTAAAGTACAGTGAACCACAGCTGGCCGTGCGCTGCGGGAGAGCCGGGGCAGAACCTACTTACAGTGGCGTAATTAAAGTTATTTAACCAGAAGTAGGTGTGTGTCCCTCTCAGCACTTGTCTATATCGGAGGACTAATTTTATTTATGTAGAAATGTCAACACGGTAGATCATGGTAGAGCTCTTTGAATCAAAGACAATCTGTGTGCGCGCGTGGGCACGCACATGCGTGTACACGGTTGTATGGAGTGTGGGTTACTAAATCAGGCACTTCTCAATGAGAGGTCATCGCTGTGTGTCTGCGCTTCAAAATCACGTTTTTAATTAAAACACTTTTAAAAGGCGAGTACTCGTTCTGAAAGCTTGATTTTGTAGCTTTGGAAACGGGGAGCAATGGCATCGCGGTCGCGTCTGGCGGCATCCTCGGGGCTGCAGTCCCTGTGCCGCCTGCTCACCAGAGTTCCCGCGGCACCACTTGGCGACTTTCGGATGCGTCTGATGAGTTAGGATTTTGACATTATGCGAAGAGGAGATTCCGGAACACCTGCTGGTTAGAACACGGAGCCCCGTGCGGTGCCGGCGGAGGCTCCTGTTTTCCAGACCAGCTGTGAACAGGCTCATCCTCCGAGGAAGATGGAGCTGAAAACGGCAGCGGGTAGGACTCCGAGACACGCTCGAGGCATCCGTATTTAGGGACATTCAACGGCTTCTTACAGATGATTCCATTTTTTACTGCTTAAAATAATTTGCCGACAGGTCTGTGTTTCCGAGTCTCCCAGGGACAGGCTCTCTCGTGGTCCAGCCTCTCCGACAGCCCCGCCCCGTCCCGTCCCGCCCCGCCTGGTTCCTGTGCACACGCAGTGTCCCCCGGTCCAGCGCCGGAGCAGGAAGGGTGGGAAGGCTGGCGGAAAACATGGCCACGTTTTCAGGTTATTCTGATTTCTGGTTACAATCTTTTGTTACTGCTATTTCCACAAAGACACATAAGAATGCCGTCACCTAGGCCAGGCGCGGTGGCTCA